CGCGCCACGGCTGACCGATCTTGATATTGGTCCGCAGTGGTGCTCTATCTCAGAAATACTCGACGCATGGGTGCGATGGGTCCATTGTTTGACCAGCCTAATTTTCTTCTCAAAACTTTATTTATTTATTTATATTTTTTTGGTTTTTGTACATGACAATTATCATGATGGAAAATTCGATTGTCCAAATGGGTAAAGCATTTGAATCTTGAAAGAATTGTACGGTTGTCACTAATCCTAAATTGTCATGATTGTATTCCTTCCAGGGGACATGCAGTAGAACTTTGTATCATGCAAGAATGTATACCCTCAAATGGGCTTGAGACAAGTATTCGTTATCCTTTGATCTTGACGACTGGGATTATCAAGACCGAAGTCCTCACTCTTTATCATTCATTATTTTCTGTATAGCATTCAATTGTTTCGAGTCTATCTGTTATATTGTAATTGACGAAACTTTCTTTTTTATGATGAGCGGAAATGTCAAAACCCTCTTTGCCATTTAATATTATTGTACTCCGAATTGTCATAACAGTTATCACGTATGTACATACGAGCCTGCCTTAGCATGCATGTATCTTTCTAATCACCTGTGTCAATCAAAAATACATTCGAAATTTCGTGTGCTTATAACCTTAACAAATACATGGACTTATCGCTTACGCGTGTCTGACGTATATGAACAGGGCGTGGCTTCTCCGCGCCACGGTTGACCGATCTTCACATCGGCCCGCTGTAGCGCTCTATCACAAACATACTCGACGCATAGAGCGATGGGTCCATTGTTTGAGCAGCCTTACTTTCATTTCGAATCTGCATTTATGTTTTGGTGTGTCTTATTGTTTTGTGACCAATAATAATGGAAAATTCGATCGCCCAAATACGTAAAACATTTGAATCTTGAAGGAATTGTACTTTTTCACTAATGCTAAATTGTTACGATTGTATACATTCGGGTGTCATGCAGCTCCATTTTGTATCATGCAGGAATGTAATAGCTTACCCTCCACTGGGCTGGAAGCTGGAGACAAGTTTTTATTAACCTTTGATCTTGATTAATGGGATTATTAAAACCGAACTCCTCACTCTTTATCAATAATTATTATCTGTTTAGCATTCCAAAAATTTCTGTTATATTGTAATTGACTGATTTTTTAATATTTTTTTTGATGAGCGGGAATGTCAAAACCCTCTTTGCCATTTAATATTATTGTACTCCGGAATGACGTTATTGCTATTAAGCATCATCTCAGAGTCTGCTTTAACATGCATACATTTTTCTCCTCCGCACAACAAATCTCTTTGTTTTGCAAAACTCCTGTGTCAATCACAGAATCCATTGTTATAGACTGAACTAGTTTTGATGAGCGGGAATGTCAAATCCCTCTTTGCCATTTAATAATCGTACTCCGATTTGTCATTATTGTTATCAAGCATTTTGTTTCTTCCCAGCCCCTCTATTTTGCGTGTCAAAAATACACCCTTTAGTCGGGCGGTCGGGCTCCGCTCTGTTGCTCCTAAGCAATTATTGTAACTGTGACCAAGATGGGTCTTATTGTATTTTCATTTGTATTATATTTTGAAGTTACCCGCACACTTGCACTTCGTACACACACAAACGCACCAGCATCACACATGCAGTTGTTCATCCTCCAAATTTTCGGTACTTTACATAATACGTATCGTTAAATGAATTCGCACGCGCACATTCCCGATATTCTTGTCGACGATATAAACGAGAGCAAATACTACACACCCCAAGAATTCAAAAATTCATTTTCTTACAAACCAGACAATATTTCACTTTTACATATAAACTCCAGAAGTCTGAACAAAACTTTCGAATACGTTGAAAACCTTTTACACTCTTTAAATAATTTTGCATTTTCCGTCATTGGAATAAGTGAGACATGGTTACATCAGAATTCTCCAGATATGTTCAATTTGCCTAATTATAAGTTGATTAGGGCGGACCGCAAAGGAAGAAGAGGTGGCGGTGTTGCGTTTATATACACGAAACATAAACTTCAAAATCCGTTCAGATATTAAACTAACACAAGCAGAATCTTTATTTATCGAAATTAATAACTCAAACACCAAAAATGTCATCATAGGTTTGATTTATAGACCCCCTGATTCTAATTGTGATTTATTCTGTGACGAACTGGATTTTCATCTTCATAAAATAGGGGATGAAAATAAACACAATTTTATCGTTGGTGACTTTAACATCAACTTCTCACCCTCATCTGATAACAGTAACTCAACCAATTGTATGCAGTTGATGTATTCATACGGCTTTTTTTCGATTATTAATAAACCCACCAGAATAAATCCACATTCATCAACTCAGATTGACAATATTTTTTCAAACGTACATAACAACAAAACCATCGGTGGAATATTGTGTTCTGAAGTGTCGGATCACCTACCCATATTTTTAACTTGTGAATGCAAACTATCTCGCCGTAAATCATTTGATGAGCTTATATATCGCAAAGAATCCAAACGTAATATAGAATTGCTGAAACAGGATTTATTTTTCGAGGGATGGGCTGAGGTATATAGTGTAAATGATGTCAATACTGCATATAAACATTTTAGTAACAAATTGCAATATTATTATGAAAAGAATATTCCTTTAGGCAAAATGAGTAATAAGCGAAATAAACCCAGGAATCCTTGGATAACGAAAGGTTTATTGAAATCAATACAAACACGCAATCGCCTCTACAAATCACATTTACACAATCCAACTGACACTAACCTAAACACATATAAAATTTATCGCAACAAATTAACAAAACTTATCCGTACATCCCGTAGATTGCATTTTTCTAATAAAATAAAAAAGGCCAGTTCAAACACAACTGCAACTTGGAAAATTATCAAAGAGGTAATGGGAAAAAAAACGAATCCCCCACCCACGGATAATATCACATTAAATGGCACTAAAATACATGATCCTAGTCTTCATGCAAATTCATTTAACTCATTTTTTACGAATATCGGCCCTGAACTCGCCAGCAAAATTAATAGAACTCACGCTCACTTTAAAGACTATCTTTCCAATCAAAACCAAGAGTCTCTCTTTTTAAATCCGACAAATCCTAGCGAAATTATTAACATTACCCAATCTCTTAACAACTCAAAATCGCACGGTTTTGATAAAATAAGTATGTCTCTCCTAAAAGAAATAATGTATCCACTTGCAAAGCCTTTAACTCACATATTTAATCACTCGTTATCGCAAGGTGTTTTCCCTGATCTATTAAAACTAGCTAAAGTCAACCCCATTCTCAAAAAAGATGATCCTCACGAAATAAGTAACTATCGTCCAATTTCCCTACTTCCAAGTATATCCAAAGTCTTAGAAAAGATCGTTCATAATAGGCTACACAAATTTATCACTAAACACAAAATACTCAATTCAAATCAATATGGCTTCAGAAAAAATTACTCAACTGACTTAGCATTAATTCAAATTTATGACAAAATTACAAGTGCCATAGCTAACAAAGAGCATGTTATAGGTATATTCTGTGACTTGAGTAAAGCATTTGATACGCTCAATCACGCTATTCTACTCTCCAAACTCAGTCATTATGGAATTCGGGGTCAGCCACTGTTATGGTTTAAAGATTATTTAACAAACAGAAGACAATATGTTACATTTAATAGTTATGATTCTGATCCTCTTTTAATTCAATGCGGTGTTCCTCAAGGCTCCATCTTAGGTCCACTGTTATTTCTTCTTTATGTAAATGATATTAACAATACATCCCCCCTTCTTTCTTTTATCTTATTTGCCGATGATACAAATATCTTTTATTCCCATAAAGATCTTAATATGTTAAACAATACTTTGAATTATGAAATTAACAAAGTATCCGATTGGTTTAAATCCAATAAACTTTCACTTAATACAAAAAAGACTCATTTCATGTATTTTAAACATCATTCTCATAATACAGAAACACCTATATATATTAAAATCGATGGTATGCTACTAGAGAAGAAAACTAGTTCCAAGTTTTTGGGTGTCCTTATAGATGAAGCCTTGACTTGGAATGATCATTTACACCAAGTTACAATGTGCATTTCCAAAAGTATTGGAATAATCTCCAAGTTAAAGTTTCTTCTACCCCATGCAACCTTATTCCTACTATATAATTCGCTAGTTCTCCCGTATATAACATATTGTAATAGTGTATGGGCAAATTGTGGTTCGACAAAAATTAATTCTATTTTCAAACTGCAAAAGAAAGCCATACGTATTTGTACAGGTTCGCATTTCTTAGCTCACACTGATCCTTTATTCTATAAACTTAAAACACTAAAAATTTTCGATCTGAACACTACTCAAGTAGCAGTTATTATGTTTAAGTACATTAATAATCTGCTTCCACCATCCTTTGATAACATGTTTAGGTTTAATAATTCCGTTCATTCATACTCTACTCGCATATCTGGAAACTTCCATCTTACAAACCCCAAATTATCAATAACACACAAATCTGTTAGACATTCTGGCCCGGACATTTGGAATGATTTACCCGACAACATAAAGTCTTGTTCAACCATCTACTCCTTAAAAGCTACACTTAAACGACAAATAATACAATCTTATGCTCCCCTCTCTTTAAATTAGTATAACAAAACAGTGACTTAATTATTCTTTATCATGCAACTGCTCACTGCACCTGCACTTGCACCGCACCCTCTTGGTCACTCAGTTTTTTCGAAGAGAGTTATGTCGCCAATTCTTTTACGAGGCCGCCATCCATTTCCAGCCTAACCGCTCACGATGGTGGTCTCCTGCGTTCCAAATTACCTCTCTAATTTATTGAAAATATTTCATATTTCTTATGTTATTGTATGCTTCGTACATGTTTATCGAATGATATAATTGTACATGATTTTTCATTTAATTACTTTTGTAAACATTGTATTCATTGTATTTGTTATTGTTCGAAATTTTGTACTTTGACTTTGAATTTGTATATTTTTGAACGCAGAAATAAAATCAATCAAACAAAAAAAAAACACAAAAAAAAACCTTTGGTACAGAATGTGAACATTCATTTCCTTCCTCCGTATTCTCTCTCTCTCTCTCTCTCTCTCTCTCTCTCTTTCTCTTGTTTTACGTGGGGATATCACCTCTCATACCATCCCAGTAGATAAATAAAAATGCCTATCAAATTAGCACTGATTAATGTTCAGACAAATGCATCAATTTATCAGAGGTTCTATTAAACGTTATTCTGTCCCTGTTGTTCGTTGCTTTGAAAATATTTTTGAGAATTGTAATGGTGAAGACGGTGCTCACTTCCTTGCAGCGCCACTCTCATTGTAATCCTTTCGGCATTAACATCTCCTATTTGCATCTATTAATGAATGGTGCATGACTGATTCTTCAAATTGAGAGCTTCTCCAACGCATCTACTAGCGAGAGGACGACCCGCAAGCTAAGACCCAGTTCGTCTTTCAGAGACGTCAGGCAAAATTCTGGAGCCAGGTTTAGTAGTTTCTTGATCTGCTTCAGGCGGATTCCTTCCACTTTCTTGAAGATGTCCTTGCTCATATCAATACCATGCGATCTCAACCATTCTCCTACATCTTCATCCCACTGGACCAGATCTACCGATGTCTGCATGCGGGAATTCCCCTCGTCTTCATTGGCTGTTGGTTTGTCATCTTTGATTCCTCCACTGCGGTCTACGTCGTTTTCCGGTGGTCCATGGGTTGTTAGATTGCTTGCACCTAGACGGTCGTGAAGAGTTATAGAGTTTTATATGTAAGGGTATACCAGAGAAACTCATGCAAAATCCCTTTTGCTTATGTGATTTAGACTCGTTTTTATTATGTAGATGGGGAACGAAAATCAGTGTTTAAATGTTTTATCGATATTAGAAAAGACCGTTTAGATTCTTAGACCATTCTCTTTCTGTGAAGAAATACAAATACCTACAAAGTAGATGTTAATTTTTCTAATCAGTAATTACAGAAAATGTATAAAAAGCACTGCTGTTACGACGAATACAGAAGAGTTCTCAAAGATGGCTTACCTGTGACTTTATCAAGCAACGGCAAAGCCAGATCTAGTTTCTCACGTTTGCCTCTATCGCTTAGCTCAGAGACCAGATCGGGTAGGCACTGTCTCATGAGATCGTCTGAAAACATAGGGTAATACTTCTTCATTCCCATTAGGGCACCAAGCCAGTCCTCTGTTGTGAATTGATCTTGAAGCATCAGGGGAATTATGTCTTTCTTTAGGGTGTAGGCGTAAGTCGCTTCTGATAAATATACGTATAACATCAAACAAAAGAAACAGCACAGTCAAGGTAAAATACAAGATCCAGATTGGGAGGGGGAACTAGGAAGACTCAATCTCACCCCCCCCCCATCTTTTCCAAGCTTCCCACAAAGAGTACCCCTTTCCGAATGGCAAAAAGAAAAGATAAAGAAAGAGAGACACTGGCAGCAAAAAGAAGGGGTGGCCACTATAGGTAGTTACTTGAGGAGATGATGTTACGGACGACCGAAACCCCTTTCCCACATTCGATGGCCTTACCCTTCTGAAATTTATCTTCCTAGTTGGACCAGTGCCCCTTTCCGCCCCTTAGTATAAACAAGACTGCCTCTCCATGGCCGGACCTCGCTACGCCACTAACCGCAATAATGCGTTTTTCATTGTTTCTCACCTGTGCGGCAGTGTTGACTCTCTTTGAATTTACGACTCATGCAAACCAGTACGACCGAAGCTCTCTGGACTGCCTTGGCCATGGAATCCAGTATATCACCTTCTGAAATACCAAAGACATGAAAGAGGAATGGATGTACACTGTAGGCATACAAAACGAAGAGGAAAAGACGGACGTGTGGTTTCTTTATTATAAAAATGAAATAACTATAACATGCAGTGGCGGAGATACAATGACCCACATGCCCATCTAATGATGAAAGGAGAATAAGAACGTGAAATGAAGATGATATCACCCCTCCCGGACCGTCCCCCTTCATAAAGTTCTTGTTATCTTGAAATGTCACCCACCTACAAGTAATAGGTCCGCGGTACCTCCTTTTCCATGAATCCACTGTCATCATTCCTTAATTGAATGGTTAGGCCCACGCTACAAACAAGAAAAATGAATGAAAGGAAGAAACAACGGTGGAGAAAGAAGAATGGATGATGATCAAAGGAGGAAAGGTATGATAATTCCTACTCATTTTGTCCACATCCATCCATACGTTGTATCCAGACTCTTCCAGATGGCGCTTGACTCGCAGCATTCGCTCCTGGCTTGCATGCTGGTAGCTAATCATAATATGACCCTCCACATGACCAGACGATACCTCACTCTTCACCGTGTGACCTTTGAACTCGTCATCGATGTCGAACACTTCATTGATGACGAAGAGTGCGCCCGAGCAGGCTTCCTTCACATCAGAATCTTTAGTCGTTTCCTTGATCTTCTTCAGCGCTATCCATTATAATGTACGAAAAAAACACAGCAATCAATCTTTTCATAGTTGACATTAAGAATGAATGAATCATTTTACACTATATGTCGTGTAGACATATCTACTTTTCTTGAAATTACTCGTCGATGTAGACTCGCGGTTGATATACAATAAAGAGGTAGACTCCAAACAAAATGGCAAAAAGCTAAGGGAAACAGAAGCATAAAACGAGAAGTAAGAAAGAGAAAGAGAAATGAGAGCGTGTTTGTGTGTATAAGATAGCGGACAGTGAGTGAACGTTGATGTCCAATTTATATCTTTGATTGCTCGTTTTATCTTAAAATATGTTTTAAGGCCACGCTAATTTTTTTGACAGACTGATTGAGATCAAAATGAAGAAGAAAAAAAGCTAAACCATACTTATATAGGTTCTGTCCCCTGACATAAACATTCATAACTTTTGCCCCGGGCGCACTATTTCGTCAAAGGTTTGAAGTTCTGGTTAGGAATTCATTTCGGCTTTTAGACGGGATGCCCATGTAAACATCCCAAACACCATTTCGAAAAATCGTCGATTTTTTTTTTTTTTTTTTTTTTTTGGGAGGGGGGGGGGGGGGGGGGACTACCATTTACATTTACTGGAAAAACTCATAAAAAAAGCCGGCGAAGTTTAATCGTATCGAGTATTGGGTGAGTATATGCGCCACTTATCGGTGCCCTGCATGCGCCTAAGCGGTAGCGAGGAGAGTCACGTGAGCAAAATTCGGTTTTTGCATTTACACTGCAACAAAACCGGTGAAATTAATCCGAATCCTGAATCCAGAAGTACATTTTTCAATTTTTATTTTTTGTAGTGTTTACCGGTAGTTGCTATGCAAACTTAATGGTGAGAAAAATCGACGATTTTGGTTGCAGTGTAAATGCAGCTAGGTTTTCGTTCAGGGCAAGGTTTAGGGTTCGGTCCAGCTAGGGCTGAAGTTAAGAATTCAGTTATTGTAATATATTGAGTACGGAGCAACTGTTGCCTTAGTACATATCATATAATTTTTTTAAATTGTAAGCATCCACTTACTGTGGAGGAGTGTTGTGCGTTGACGTATCTTGACTTTGTTCTCTTCTTTGAAAGCCAGTTGCCATATTCCTCGGGCAGCCCAAAGCTTTTCTTCGTTGCTCGATCCTTCTTCCATCAGGATTCGCTCCAGGACGTCTATCCCACCAAGTTCTACGATGAGAAGCTTATTGCAGTCGTTGATGGCCAGCTGGTTGAGTCCTTGAAGGACCTCGAATGTCGAGTAGAAGTAGACCCGAGATCGGCCATCTGGTTCACTCATGGCCGACCTAAGAGCGTGTAGGAGGAATTTCAGACACGGTTCATTCAGGGAAATCTTATGAACTTCTGATTTATCGACGATGTAGGAAAGCGCCAAGAAGGCAATGGCCTGAATCTCAGGGCTCGTCGATTGTGAATACTCCTGGAGGGTATCAACGAACTCTCGACATATCACTCTGTTCTCGGGAACTCTCCAACAACTGTTATAGATGATCTTCAGTGCGTAACAAATAAGGGTGTCGCCGAGAGTTCTCGTCTTGAGATCGCGAAAGAGCAAAGTTAGGAGTCCCTTATTACCAAAGGCATAGTTGAACTCATCCGAACAATCAGTTAGATTACCAATAATATTCAACAGAGCTAACAATTTCTTCTTCTTCTTCAACTTGAGAAAAATTGAGAATTTTCCCTTCACAAGGTTCTTCCAAAATAGCGTAAATATATCAAAGATTTCGTCATGACAGACCAAGTATTTGATAATAGCCGATTTGGCGTCCCCAGTTTTCAGATGGTAAATCATGCCGAGTACGTTCCACTCCTCGATGGAGGTAAGAGCCTCTAAATCTCGACTTTCTTTGAATTTTACCATAAATTTATCGATCCCATGGCAATAGGTTTCAACAGTCGCGTTTTGCTCTTCCGTCAGGCTTTGCTGTGCGTCCATGGTGGCAGCTTCATTCAGTTTTGGTTAAAATGTAATAAACATGTATGAACGCTGAAAGTGCAAGTACTAAGAAAACTCGAAATGTGCACTTTGACAAGACCCGGTCCCACTCGCCCATTGACTAAACCGGTGCCTGTGGTTTCAGGAATATAGTAACTTTTCTTTCATCTTTGAAAGAAGGGGGAGGGGCTATAAGAAATGAATTATTAAAGTGTCTCGAATATTAAGGCAAACTCAATTCTTCATGAATTCATCCATAGAAAGTACATTAATTTGTATCTACCTATGTCTATGACATGTATGACAAGCATAATTTATGAGCGGGATAGCCCGGATTGTTTTCTATAAAGGAGCTCAGGAGTTCACAACTTTTCTCCTGGAAAGGGAAAACGGGCACATAGTTTTCTTTACCAGTATGTAAAGGAATTTAGAGTCCGAAAAAGATAATATTTACATTTTTAGATAATTGTTTAAAGTAGGCATTCTAATTACAGAGCTCCTATACGGCTACTCAGCATTATATCATTTCCTTTTGCCTTTTTGGCACTCTTTTATAACAGTAATTTGAAGCCCCCCCCCCCAACGGCTACGCCGCTGCCCCTAATCACAAAAACACAAAAACAAAAGCAAAATGCAAAAGATCAAATTTTTCATTTAACCAGTAAAAGGTGAGTTTTGTGAAGGTAGGAGAACCTAAATCTTTCAAAAAGAATGCCCTTTTAGGCACTTATTTGAATCTTCTGAAAACGAATTTAAACACAATAGAGGGTTTTAAGTAGGAGTCAGAGTCTATCTTGTAGTACAGAGAGATTTATCGTTATTTATTTTGGATAGGTGGGACCATGCATGTCATATCTTTCCAGCAGGAAACCGAAATTACCGGCTTAACATCCGCTTTCTCAAAGGTCAATTGGTTACAAGTACATACATAGAGATTCAAAAATAAAACACTGAAGCGATAAACGTTGACTCAATTGCTAAGCAACTTTCTGCGTAACTCCCTAGAACAATCTGCCACAGGTTATTCGGGATGCTTCTGCCCTAAAAATCTTAAAGAGTCTCTTGAAAACATACTTCTTACAGTAATCTTTATTCAATTTATATGTTTGTAACAGTGTAGAATATCCATTAAATCAAGTTTTTGCTTTGCCTTATCATATTTTGCTCTTTTTCTGTACCCTCTCACTTTGTTGTCGTAATGTATATTCTCTTCAATTATTAATTTAGTTATTTTTATGGAGCTATACTTAAATGTAAATTGATAATTTGTGTATTATTTTCTTATTTTTATGTATGCTGTGCATTTTCCCACTTATCTGTAATATACTACATTTCAATCATTTGCAATCGTGATTATCTCTTAAAACTTTGCCATTATGTGTACAGCGCAGAAATGCCTTTTGAGGAAAATGCGTTATATAAGAATCTACTTATCACATTTATTATTAAAAACTATTAAAAAAGAATGAGTTAATTTTCGTACTCATATACCCCAGTTGTTGTGATTCCCAAGCGGTGGCGTCAGCTGGTTCACCGAAAAGCGAAACCGCTTATTGTAACGAGGGCGGTCTGTGTTTCTCAATGCCACATAATAAACGAACAAAGTTTAACCTTTCAAAATGCAACATACTATCCAATTACTTTCTTGGAAATGTATTTCATTATTCATCTTTTTCTTTGCACTCTGCTGTATTCATTTCATTCATTATTCTGAGATCTAATTTAACATAATTATAACAGTTGCCATCTTTAAGATGTTGATATGTCGTTTATGTTCATATAAATTGTTTAAATTTGCTTATATTGTGTTTTGTCCTTGTTATCGTTTTGACTGATTTATCTTTTACCATAATTTATTCATACATTTTTATGTTTTAATACCAGGACCAAGATGGAAAGCGGTTACATTACTAGTCCCGTGCATGTTGTAAAACATTTATTGTGTTTACGAAAAAAATGAAATAGTGTCCAGAAAGAAAGAAATTATTCATTTTTCATTCGCCGTTATTTATTTAGTGCTTCAGGTCGAATAGATGTTATTGTTAAAATTCCATTTTAATTATAATGTTTCCACCAGGCAGCCTCTATCTTTATGTTTATGTTGTTGTTTGATTCAAAACTAGGTGAATTCTGGCCAACTAAGTGTGTTATCAGGTGAAACTATTTGTCTATATAATGGTGATCCTCAGCCTGGTGTAATGTATGACATGTCAGACCTAAATTAATATATACTATGCAATTTTCAAGTAACTTTGATATAATTGTTTACTGATGGCATTTATTTTGGGCATGCTAAAGGCGGTTAGGCTAAGGTCTGTGAAATGACTCGAGTTGTTTTTGTAGAATTAATTGACGTTAGACAATCCTGCTCGTCTCTGTACCAATTCATCTAATGCAGGCATCGGTGGTTCAGTGGTAGCTACTCACCTGCCACGCAGGCTAACTGGTTTCGATTCCCGGCCGATGCAAGTACATGTAAACATTGTAATTTTGTTAACGGTTATAAACTGTTATAAACGGTTAAATTGGGGGAAAGTGAGGTAAGATGAGCCAGTATTTACAATTTGGCTCCGTAATACCAATAGATAGGTACTACAGTTATGGGTTAAATACAGTAATGTAGTATAACTTCCATTGTCTGGTGGACCGCCCCAAAAAAGGTCATTTGGATCAATTTTCCCCAGTCATGGGGTATGTTGATCCGTGACATTTCGTGCACAATTTGGTATCTGAAATGAAATTATTAGAATAACACCAAATTTCCTGATATGGATAATAAATGATTATACTTATACTGTTACTTATTGCAGGTACACCAAGACATGAATTGCTGTCAATCATCATTTCTTCCTTTTTAACTTAAGTGTTTTAAAAAGTACACAGTGATTCACACAGGGGTAAGATAAGCCACACAATGGTTAAGCCAGGGCTCAACTTGCCCCAACGGAAAGACCCATCTTCCCCCACACACGCCAATTTGAAAACTTGACACAACATTTGTTTTAAAGTTCAATGAGGCTCAGAGGTTTTTACACAAAAATCCGCTTTTATCTATAGCAAACATTCACAACAAGCAATTCTGATAGACCCCAATTGGGAAGGAATAATCACTGTATATCTACACATATTGCTCCGATTGTCTCATTTTCGCTCGCGTGAACATTGCCAGCACAAAACACTGACCTCTACCTCCTCGACGGATCATCGCCCATTCCCATTCACTATATGTTACGTACTAAAAGGCTGTATTGTCTGACCGTTCATGAATATTCATGTTTTTGCTAAACTCGGCAAAATGTTTGCTTTTACTAAATGGAAAAATTACGGTTGGGGGTTGGATGAAATGGACACAATGAACATAGCAGAATTGATAATTGATAATTCATGCTTCTTATCCTTCGTGTGCTTGACCTATAATCTTACAATCACTTGGCAGACTGAGTCCAAAGTTCGACTTGTTTCACATGTGTATTATAGGCAATGGCGAGCTTGCAACCTATTTTGAAAAATTACGGTGGGTGAACTTTCAAAAGTCAATGAGACATGAGGGCTCCAATGAAAGAGCTAGTGATAACGTACGTCGGGTGGATGTGCTTTTCGTTTAAACAAAAAATGAATTTTTAACGATTTAAAAAAAAAACCTCCATAGGCTAACATGTATGGCTGCTGACTCTGACGATAGGGGGCGTTGTGAAATGAGACTAAACGGAGCTATATGATAATAAGAAAATATAAAAAACTGTGTAAACCCCCGACATAACGACAAATTTCTTATAATTCTGCCCCCATGTGACAAAGGTAGTTCCATCATCATCATCATCATCATCAACAACTTCAGGTGGCGCTGTAAAGCGCTGCTGTGGTCTTCACGAGAGCACGCCATGCAACTCTTTCACCTGCCATTTGTGTTGCACCTTTCATTCCTTGTCCAGACACTTTCTTAATATCATCAGTCCAAGATATTGGCGGACGACCTCTACCCCGTTTCCCTTCGACTGCTCCTTGCAGTATTTGCTTCTCAATACCTTCAGATCTCCTAACAATGTGCCCAAAATAGTAAAGTTTTCTTTCCATGATTCCCTTTTTGATGGTCAAGTCTGTTCTAATCTTTTCCAGGACCCACACATTTGTCTTTTTATCTTTCCATGACACCTGCAACAGCCTCCTGTAGCACCACATTTCAAAGGCATCAACTCTCTTTCTGTCATTCTTTGTCATGGCCCAGGACTCACTTCCGTAAGTAGCAATAGAGAAAGAAGTTGCTTGAAGCAGACGAACCTTCAGACTGAGAGATAGGCCTCGGCTCTTCCAGATGTGAGACATATTCTGTACTGTTGATCTTGCCATTGCCATCCTTCGTCTTATCTCTGTGGTGCTCTCTAGCTCCTTTGTTAGTGATAATTGAACCCAAGTACTCAAACCAATTTACTACTTCAATCATATTTCCAGCTACGGTGAATTCAGTGTCATCATAATCTCAACCATTATTTTTGTCTTTTTGGTGTTTAGAAGAAGGTCTTTCTCTTCACTTGCCAGTTTGATGCGATTCAATAAATCCATCAGCTCCTCTCTGCTGCTGCAAACGAGAGTGGTTTCATCAGCATACCTTAGGTTCATGATCTTTTTACCTCCAAACTTAACTCCCCCCTTGAATCCTTCCAGAGCTTTTCTCATAATGTCCTCAGAGTAAATATTAAAAAGGTTAGGAGACAGTATACAGCCTTGACGTACTCCCCTGCCAATTCCAAACCACTCGGTATTGCCGTTACTGGTTCTCACTGTTGCTTCTTGGTGATGATAGAGGTTTTTGATCAGTTCGATGATGTGACTTGGGAACCCCATCCTTGCCATTGTATTCCACAATTGAGAGTGGCTCACACAGTCAAATGCTTTAGAGGGGATGTTTGTGTTCTCTGCATTTCTCTAATATGTTTCGAATGTTGACAATCTGTTCTTTTGTCCTTCTACCTTCCCGGAACCCTGCTTGCTCATCTGAGATCTCGGCTTGCAGTTTGATTTTCATTCTTCTGCTAATCACCTTCAGAAGTATTTTGCTTGCATGACAAATCAAGCTGATCGTTCGGTGATTTGCACATTTTTTCAGATCTCCCTTCTTTGGCAATGGTATAAAAACAGCTCTACACCAGTCCTTGGGCCACTCCCTACTATTCCAGATATTGGAACAGAGACGCCACATCAGGTCAGTACCTTCTTCACCTGTAGCCTTCCACATCTCGGAAGTCAAGTTGTCGTAGCCAGGGGACTTGCCATCCTTCAGTTGTTTCATTGCAAGCTCCACTTCTGATCTTAATGGAGGGGGCTCCATTTCATCACTTTCCTCCCACTGAGTGTCAACTTGTTCCCGTGCAGCAAACAGCTTGGTACTATACTGCACCCATCTTTCCTTGATGTCTTCATTCTCTGTCAGTGTTTTGCCATTTTCATCATTAATTACATCCAGTCTTGGGATCTTTTCTTTGTGATTTCTTTCACAATTGCAAATGCTGCCTTAGAGTTGTTCTTGTGACGCTCTAGGTCTTCACACTTCCCCGCGATGTATTTCCTTTTGTCCTCCTTCACACTACTTGTAACCGCCTTATTGAGTCTCGTCCATTCTCCTCTATTGCGTTTCGCTTTTGCCCTCTTCCTGTCATCAGCAATGTCGAAAATCTGATTTGAGATCCATGGTTGATTCCGCTTCCTTTTCTTTAGGATGTGATTCTTTGCTGCATTTTCAACTGTTTCTTTCATGTCTTCCCACAGCTCATTTGGTGTTTGCTCTGCTTCATCGTTTCTCAACAGCAGCTCAAACTTGTTCTTCACTTCCACTGAGAATTGAGAAGAGATATTTTCCACATCATACCTTGTGGGAGCTGAATCACATTTCTTAGCTTTCAGTCTTAGTCTCAGTTTAGCCACAAACAACTGATGATCGCTGCCACAGTCAGCACCTGGTCTTGTCTTGACGTTCTCTAGTGATGTTCGCCACCTCTTCTTGACCATGATGAAGTCTATCTGGTTTCTGGCTCTGTCTCCCGGACTCATCCACGTCCACAGTCTTCTGGGATGATGCTCAAACCACGTGTTACCAATGATGAAGCTGTTTGCTACACAGAATTCTTCCAGTCGATCTCCTCTTTCATTACTGATGCCAAGACCATAATTGCCAATGAACTCAGATTTTTCCCTCGTTTTACCAATCTTGGCATTCCAGTCACCCAATATTATGAGGAAATCTTTCCTAGGAATGCTGTCTACGACATCTTGTACCATCTCATAGAAATCAGTGATTTCTTCCTCCGGTGCATCTGCTGTTGGTGCATATACCTGGATTATGGAGATATTCATAGGATGCCCTTGTAATCTCACAGTCATAATCCTCTCGTTGATCGGGTTGTATCCCAAGACACATTTAGCTGTAGCCTTCTCTATGATGAATCCCACACCCCTTCGCTTCCTTCCACTTTCTTTCCCTGAAAAGATGATTGTATTTCCTTCGTCTGATGTAAATCTGCCTTGTCCAAGCCACCATGATTCAGATATTCCCAAAACTTTAATATCATTTATAGCCATCTCCTTCTCCACCATTTCCACCTTTCCATCTGACATACCACGTACATTCCACGTAGCTACGTTGATTGGTTTCCTTAGAGGGGTGTTGTTCCTTTCCATCATGGGACCTTCAAGAAAAGAACTTCGTACAAGAGGCTTTGATCCTGATCCGTCATCACCCGCAAGCGTACTACGAGCAGTACCTCTTTCTTCCGCTTGATTTGTTGATTTTGTACTCTCATGATGACAAACGTGACCAATTAATAATGGTGGGCGGCCAGATCCTTCCATCGCAGTACAGAAGCCAGAAGCATTACTACCGAGCTGCCCTCTGCTCCCCCGTAGCCACCGTTGTCCAAGGTTTGGATCCTCCGCGAACTACAGGTACTGCATCGCTGCTGCCCGGTGCAGGACGGGGTTTATTTGAAGGCGACCCAACCCGCCTTGTCATGTTCTCGTCATAGGATTATGAGAGTTTTTCTAAAGCTAACAGCGTCACCTATTAGCTCCTCTCCTCTGGTAAGAACACCGGGATCAGACTAGCACACCGCTGGAAACCAGCCAGTATTTCTACGGTCTCGGGTAGTTCCAGTGATGTAAATTTATGTCCTTAATGTCCTGAAGGGCCCACACCAGTTTTCACTTTGTACAGTTTCCTAGTAACAAGGGGTGGCTAAACCTACCCACTTGCTCATCTTACCTCACTTTCCCCTACGAGTAGTTGCTGACTGGATGAAGGCAAATAGGCGTTGTGGCGTGCGCCTGTAATCCAGCTAAAAAGTGGAAGTTTCAAACTGATTCAGCCGAGGACGCAGTCACGTCTTTCGGATGGTGACGTTTAAAGGTCGATCCCCAGACGTAAATCATCATACCTGATTGATACACGTCTGTAAAAACCCAATACACACACAAGGTAAATAAATAAGCTGCATGTTGATAATGTTTGTTAAATAATATCTAGAAATATTGAATAGTAATATAGAAATATATTTTGAACAAGGTAAATTGTATTATCCATCTCGTATACTGCTTTAGTTGTACTCAACTTTAGTACTTCCTTAGTTACGTTATGGAAAACTTGCGTGTGGCACATGTGGAAATACCTTACTCGATAGAATGTTATTATTACAAAAGAAAGCGATGCTAATCATCTGTCACACCAATTTCCGCGCTCATACTCATGAACTCTTTCTCGCAAATAATGTGTGTGACCAAACTCGTTTTGATCTTTTCAAAACTTGTTTTTTCCTTTAAAAACACCCTAGGTTAATTTATACATACGTGTTAAACCCAAAAGCCTAATTACTTTAATGGTCACGTGGGTTTGGTATACCTACTCTAAGGACAAAGTATTCCCTAGATTATTTATTTATATTTTATTGTTCGTAGGTACAATGTAAAATGTTAAATGGATCCCAATGAAATTATGATATTTTCTCATGTATGTTCTTTTTATATATTTAAAAAAAACTGAAATTGATTATTATATCTAATCCAGAATGATGTGCACTCATTCAAGAAAGGTAGTCCTTCTGGACGCGGAGGTATGTCAGGTAAGGCCGTGATAATCAGCATTTATATAACCGACATTCACCCACTTACATTAAACGAAGCCGGTAGTTCACAATGGTCCTTCCTATGTCTTTGAAGCTGTCAAGGTAGCCTGTATTTTGTTACAGTTTTATACACATGAATGTAGAGATAATTGAACATAATATTGACCTTTACTTCCCTATCAGTGCAATTATAGGAATAGTTATGTTATACGATAGTTATTTCAAAACGTGAAAGTTTTGTTTTATTGCTTGACTTGATTTGGGTTGCGTCTATACAGACTGCTTTACATTTTTGGACGTGGCATTGATTAAGTCACATTTCATAATTATACGACTTTCGGTGCTTGGTATAGACATTCAGAGCGGATTATTATCGCTATATAATAACACGGAATTTGTTCCATATTTTTATCCAGGATGTTGGTGATATTTAATCACCTGGATGAGAAGTGTTGTGTTTATGATGTCGTAATATACGAGGCGGTATATTATGTAATGACATGTTTTATTCACCGTACGGTGGAACGTACGGAGGCATGTTAAATAAATTATTTTGTTGAGATTTTTGGGGGATTGATGAATAGTCTATTAGTATCAGACTCGGTTTATGTATAATGCGAATTTTACAACAAATATTGATTCAGTTGATAAAATCCATAGTAGATATTTGATGTATTACTTTTGTCTACTGTAGCCGCTGAGGCATGATGCACGTATTTACGAGCTGCAAACCTTAGGTTCAACCATGGTCAACCAAGATGGCATGGCTGTTTTATTACCTGTTTACCACTTATTCTCGGGTGAGTTATGTATGCAATAAAGTCAGAATATTTGATATCGATTCCGGTATTTCTTATTCCAGGAATTTACACATAATATTGAAATACTATGTAATTGTTTTATATTTTTTAAATTGCATATCTGTATATTAAGAAACGAACTTATGAAAACTGCATTTGTCGGCTACAGAAATCTGATCACTATTGATACGGTGATGACTTGCATGATTTTTGTACTGTGATCATTGTTCTCATGATGCTTTCTTGTTTTATGATCTGTACCATGCAGGGGTTTCAGTTACCCATTTATTCATCGAATACATTTTCCAATCCACGCTACCAGCACCACCGACTCTTTATTTACGTTTGGCACGAGCCCCACAAATAAAGCCTTGGTATAACAATGAATAAAAAAGAATCGCCTCAAGTTCTCTCAAATATGTTTAACACAAATACGGAATGCCATAGTTATCCCACGAGATTAGCAAGCTTTTCTCACCTACCAAAAACAAGAACGGTATTTTCCAGCAGAATCTTTACTTTCACTGGCCCATAACATTGGAATGCCCTTCCCTGCACATTGAAAAAAAAAACCTCATTATTTATTGGATTAAAAATGCCCCCAAGCGCTTTTTGTTGCAAACCTTATCAGAATAACTAGTTCCCCAGTTGTGCGTATTTGGGCTGACTGGCTAATATTTTTTACTTCGAAATTTGTTTCCATTTCACACTACTCAAAAATGATTCCTCCATGACTGGCCTCTCTCTCTCTCTCTCTCTCTTCTTCTTCGTCTCTTTCTGCCGTATACCCTGTTTCCCTGTTTGTTACTCTCTCAGTCTCACCCTTATTTTCTTCATCTATCATCCTGTTACCCCTCTTACCCCCCCCCCCCCTTCGCGTTTAAAAAATCAATAAATTATCAATAATTCATTGCATTTTCCCCGGTCCCTAACAGGAAAAATTCCTCTGTAGGGCCATGTTGGTAGTGTCACGAGTAATTTGTGACTGAACTAAAACTAAAAGCTTCAATATCACAATTTCGCCGTAATGTTTTTTTTTCCCAATCATTTATTAATTAGTTTATATTTACATTAAAAAACACTCAATTATAATGATTACAAATAAAACCACATACATTATACTATATCACAAAATTAATTGAACGCTTTTTAAAATAACTAACATTTTTTTCATAGGTAATACTACCCTCAATAATATTTCGTTTAAACAAATTTCAAACATGTTAGTAAAATTACATTTTATGTTTTGTGTATATACAATATAACAAGCTAAATTAATGAAAATATTTTTAAAAACTACATACTGTATTCGAATTTCACATTAAATTAAATTACGCATTCCCTACATATCTAAGATATAATTTGTTTAAATTAAATTTACCCATCCAAATTTAAATCCACAACTTTTTATTTATTTTTACCTTCATATATCCCCAGTCATTTTAATAACTCAGAAGATAAATGTACCCTATTCCATTCAAATTTTTAAAATAAATTTTACACTAAATAGGCTCTATATAATTTCCGATTTTTCAGTCAATAGAAATACCAGAAAAATTACTAAAACAAGTAAGCTTCTTCATAACAGTATTTGCTGACCGTAAGGAATCTTTAAAATATTATAGTATTATCCGCATACTGCATAATACATGATACATAATACATTTATTTTTACCGACCACATTCCCTTGACTTGGAATTTGTTTACCACATATATTTTCGTTATGTTTTATCCGTAACAAAACGTATAATACATGAATGTGAAATACAACCATAATAATTACAACTTTTCCACTTGCAATTTTATAAAATGTTCGTACCCATGGAATAAAATTGTTGCAATCCAAATTTTCTAGTGTTTTAAAAATATTATATCCCTTTTGCAGCCAACATCAAATTATGTAGAACATTGCAGGAACCATGGATATGTCATGTATGTCCCATCTGTGAAATGTAAACGTTAGCAACGTCCTATTATTCAAATTATGCAAGGAAACCCGTTTACTTGCTAGACTTCACTGTCAGACACTATTAAGTGACCGACTGGCTTCTTTTTTTCTTTGGTAATAAAATACATAACATGAGCTGTGACAGGTACATGCAGCATTTGTCTACATCACTAACCCACTTCTTGTAATGATCAAAATTGAACTGATTCAATAATTGCGCAGCACAAAACATACAAATATTCGGTACAAAGGTCTGAAAATCAGACTTTTTACATAAGCGATTGTAATGACTTATGTCGATTCGACAACTAATCGTCGTTATTTTCCCACAAAAAGACATTTTCCAGCCCTTTCGTTCTGCAGGAAGTTCTAAATCAGTATTGATTCAAAATGATTTTATTTGTCGTGCAAAACATGGTACATTTACTAAGTACATTACACAACATATATACAATGAAACGACAATAAAATAGAAATAGCACGAGAAAAAGAGCTTGTTAAAGTGTAAGTTCTTCAGAGGCTGTTTTACAATATAACATGAACAAAGTATACTTAGAATATCGATAAATAGAAAAAATATGTAGCTACGGGATTATGGATTTTTATTTATTTTTTTTTTTTTTTTAATTTTTTTTTTTTTTTTTTTTTTTGGGGGGGGGGGGGGATAAAAGAGGTAAAAATACGATTGGAATTTTACCTTTTCTTTGTTTTGGCATGCAAGTGGGACATAGTACCTTTACACAAATAAGCATGATTCACGACATCAAATGATTGCTTAAAATCAACGAACATAAGAATAACGGGTACACGCTTTTACTAAAAATAGTCAATCAATATTTTGAACAATATTTTTAGTTGCCGATCTATCCTTCATAAATTCAGATTGATCAAACGAAACTATAATTTGAATTACTTATATTGAATTGTCATAGTTTCACAATTAAAAAGGTTGTTTTACCTGTGAGACTTTCGCATACTCTTTTTTTTTTAAAAGCTTTTTTGACTTTATTCAGATCTTCATAATTATACAAAATGATGAATAGGAACACAACTGTTCTTACAGTATAAAACATACATGTAGTACATTGTCTCATACATTATAAACACAGACATATTTAAAAAATATTTTCCATAAGTATTCAAACTAATATAGTACACATTCAAACAAGTGTACAGAATGTGCCCCAATTCCTTTAAAAAAGGAAAAGGTGACGGTAATACTTGAATACAACATTATAAAAAGGAACAATTTTTACAACATAATATGCAAATTAATTAGTTCAATATAAATTAAGCAATCTGAACAAAGATTTTTTTTATAAACAAAAAGTATAAGGTGAAGGTGCTGCTTCATGACCCATGATGACAAAATTTGTTATATTTACATATACTAATACGGTGCATTTTTCATGATAACTAGGGTCTTGTATCAGTGGAGGTCTGGAGGTCTTTGCTGCAGGCATCATAAATACTACCCCATCTAGCGGTGATAAAACGTCGGTCTGATGTATGAGTAGGCGAAAGTCTCACAGGAAAAATAACCATTTTTATTGTGAAACTATGAAAAATCAATCTATGGAATTACTACTAATCATTTTAATTTTGAGGACAAAGCGTGAGCTGTAATTTTGTTATCTACATTTAATAAAGATATAGGTCGCCATTTACTTTGTCTTGGCCCCTTGTTTTTACAATAGAGTAATGATTGCCTGTTTTGGTGACAATGACAACTCTTGATTATGAAAACCCTCATTCAAACTTCCAACAAGCTCTTTATTTTCCACAAAAAAAAAAAACATCAGTAGATTTCTACAAAAAGACAGTTACTACCTGGCGACTCATTTAAATATATGGCTTTTAAAACATGCCAACATTCTTCTTCTGAATAAAACGTATAGGGCGCTATCTCGCTTTTCAAACGGCTGATTAAAAATTATCGAATATTTTTGGGGCCCCACAAATATCAGAAATGGTTTTTACTAATGGATATGTCAGCCATCTCTGATTCGATTAGGATCAAAGAAAGATTATATTGTCATTTAAATTGTATGTTCTTTCAAATTTGACACTCAGTTTTTCATTATCTCACAAAAATATTGTATGTAGCTCAAAACTTAATTATCTATTTATTGGATGATGCTTAGATTCTTCAAATTGGGAATTTCTCCAACGCTTTTACTAGCAAGAGGACGTCTCGCAAGCCTAGACCCAATTCACCTTCAATAGACGTCAAGCTAAATTCTGGATCCCGGTTTAGCAGTTGCTTGATCAGCTTGAGGCCTATCCCATCCACTTTCTTGTAAATGTCCTCCCTCGTATTATGGACCTTACCACATGCTCGTATCAACGCCATTCTTTATCAGCCATCCTAGTGCTTCTTTCTCATCCCAAGAGTCTAGTCCTTGAAGCCAGTCTATTTCCTTGCCTTTTGCTGGTCCTTTCCATTTTATTTGATCATGGGCTGTTGGATTGCTTGCACCTACATGCATGATAGGAGTAAGGGACAGTCGTGAAGAGTTATAGAGTTTTATAGGTGAGGGTATACCAGATGAACCCATGCGGAATCCCTTTCACTCATGTAATCTAAAGTCATTTGTATTATAGATGGGGGACGACATTAAATGTTTCATCGATCAATTAGAATAGACATGTAGATTGTTAAACCATTCTCTTTCTGTAAAGAAAGAAAGATATCTGCATATTATATGTACATATTCATTTTCTAGTGCATTTTGATTACAGAAATTGTTAGAAAAAACACACAGCCGGTACGATGCTTACAGGAGAGTCCTTAACGTAGGCCTACCTTTTCCCCCATGTTTGCCTTTATCGCCTAGCTCTTTAAGCAGCTTGGGTAGTTGCTGTTTCATGAGATCGTCTGAGAACATAGGGAAATACTTCTTCATTCCCACGAGGGGACCGAGCCAGGCCGTAGGAACGAATTTATCTTCAAGCATCAGGGGAACTATGTGTTTCCCTAGTGCGTGGGCGTATCCCGCTTCTGACAAAAGAAACAGCACAAAATAAAATAAAATAATATCTATGTGGCGGATCCAGGGCTCTCTATCAGAAGCGGTTCCAAAAGATTAGGAAGGGCGGGGGGGGGGGGTGCTTTGGAGGCTCAAGCCTCCCCTCCCACTCCCCTCCCCCATCCTAAATCAACCTTCTAGAACAATGATTGTTTTCTAACCGGGGGAGGAGTCTGATATTTTTTGACGCGTAACAAAAGAAAGACAAAAGATTATCCCTTTCCGAATACGGAAAGAAAAGGAGAGCTAGAGAGAAGAAAAAAAGGAAAGGGGATGCCCCAGGTGGAAACATGGCCATTCGATTCCCAAACGTATCGTCCTAATTAGACCGGTGCACCCTTCCAGTGGCGGATCTATGAGGCGCCCCCTCCCCTGGCCCCAAAACAGGTAAATTTAACCGTTTTTTCATTACAAAGAAAATGGGCCCCTCCCCTGGCGCAAGAGGGTGGGGGGGGGGGGGGTATTGATCCGGCGCAAAATATTCTCTCACGAATTTGGAGGAAAAAAAATTAGTGCTCCTTATCCCCTCCCCCGCTTATTCGCCGACTGGCTAATTCGGCACTGAATATTTTTCTCACAAGTTAAAAAAAAAAAAAGTTAGTGCTTCTTAACCCCCCCCCCCCCCCCCCCCCCTCTCCACTTCCCGCCGGCTGGCTGATTCGGCGCTGAATCGATTTTCACGAATTTGGAGGAAAAAATATTCCTCCTTCCCACCCCCCGCTCCTCCCGCTTATTCGCCGGCTGGCTGACTCACCGCTAAATATTTTCTCACGAATTGGGCCCCCTCCCTTGCTGCCGCCTGGATCCGCCCCTGCCCCCTTCCATCCCTAAATATTAACACGAGTGCTCCTCCATGGCTGGCCCCACCGCTACGCCACTGACTGCAGTAATGTGTATTTTTTGTTCCTCACCTGCCTTACAGTTTTTACTCTCTTTGAATTTATGGCTCATGCAAACCAGGATGACCGAAGCTCTCTCGACTCCCTTGGCCATGGACTCCAGTATGTCACCTTCTGTTATTGAATACCAAAGACACGAAATAGGAATAGATGTACAATATGAAGAGGAAAAGACAGATGTGTGGTTTCTTTAAAGAAAACTCAACCGCAAGAAGTAACTTTTTTTATTCTGAGAGATCAATTGTATTAATCTACAAGATTACCAACCAAAGAGTATGAGAGACGCATAGAGCAAGAATAATGTACAGTTTTCAGGACAACATGGACATCGCCATTTTCTTAATAACGTGACGTACTATGCGAAGTCCTTAGACAAGTAAATATATTCAAATCTATGGATGCTTCTTTCCAAGTTGTGCGTGGTGATGAAGTACATTTACATGTAGTTCTTTTACCTGCTATTATCCTTTGTACTACAATTGTCAGAACACACATTGCATAAATCATTTGGTGTTCTTCTAGGGTTAAGCTTTAGCATAAATGAAATAGATTTGTCAACTGCTGCACCTGTATTGTTTTTCTTCAACAAATTAGTTGCAATTGTTCTCCTGTTATACATTTCTCACCAAAGTTAATTGTTGACGTTCTCAGCTCTCAATTATAATTTTCCCGCATTGAAAAGTAAAAGCTTTTCCAGCTGAAGACTAGTGCATAATACATTGTACGACTTCAAGAAAATGGCTGCGCCCATGTTATACTAAATACATTTTGTTTTACATCATGCCAAGACTATCTTCATTTGTACAGTGCGTCCCAGAAAAAAACGAAACCGAAAATTATCGATGTTTTATCTTAACTTAATCACATTTATAATTGATAAATGACACATATTTGTAAAGCTTACATCCTCCTCTTTCATTTGATGCAACTCATATAATACATATTTACGCATGAGTGATTAAAATGAATTTGAAGAGAGGAAACCAAAAAGTCATTTGGCGGACGGTATCTGAATTTCAAGGGGAAAAAAAATCTCATTTCTAGAAATTGACAACAGACTTAACTCCGTTTCGTTGACAATCAGCCATACATGAAGTATTTCGTCAATGGCTGATTGTCAACGAAATGGAGTTAAGTCTTTTGTAAACTCTGCATGTTGCTATGGCAGGCACCCAGTGAAAACGAATTCTTTTGATAAAATTATGGAAATGCAAGCGCTACTTTAAACAAACAAAACTTTGTCATTCCGTGCTCATTTTTCCTGATTGAGGTGTCATATGAAAGGGCAAAAACTCAACTCTCTAGAAATGTGATTTTCTTTTTGAAATTCAGATACTGTCCACCAAATTACCTTTTGGTTTCTTCTCTTCAAATTCATTTTAATCATTCATGCGTGAAATATGAATCATATGAGTTGCATCAAATGAAAGAGGAGGATCTAAGCTTTCCAAATATGTGTCATTTAGTAATTATAAATGTGACTAAGTTATGATAAAATATCGATAATTCTCGGTTTCGTTTTTTCTGGGACGCACTATATATCTCTAACACACTTTCGTAGGGAATATTTTACATCAAAGGGCAATCATACATCTCTTTTTTTTCTCGAAATACATACACTTATTCTTTTACATGAGGTTTCCTTTAATCTAAGAAATAAAGCAATCTGTTATCATGCAGTAGGCGGAGATACAATGACCACGAGTGCTCGTGCCCCATTTAATGATGAAAGGAGAGTAAGAATGTGAAATGAAAATGATACCACCCTAGCTAGACCAACCCGTGAATACTCCACGTTCTTGTTCTCTTGAATTTCACCTACCAATATGTAGGAGGTCCGCGATGTCTTCCATTCCTTAAAAATTTAATGATTAGACCCACAATACAACACTGAATTATAAATAAAAAATAAATATAAGTGAAAGAGGGAGAACGATTGAAAGAAGAAAAAGTGGTTAAAAAGAGAGAATGAATGAAAGCAAGGAATGGTAGTTAACTAAGAAGAATAAACGAAAGAAAGGAATAAACAACTGTGGAAAAAAGAAGAATGGATGTTGATCAAAGGAGGAAGATTATAATAATTCCTACCCATGTTGTCCACATCCATCCATACGTTGTATCCACGTTCCACCAGATAGTTCCTGACTCGCAGCATTCGCTGTTGGCTCGCATGCTGGTAGCTAATCATAATGTGACCCTTGTCATGACCAGACGATACCTCACTCTTCACTGAACAGTGACCAGGATCTCCACGCGTAGGGGTGTGACCTTCGGACTCATCGCTGTCATCGCTGTCATCGCTGCTATCCAAGTTGAACATTTCATTGATGGCGTCGAGTAATTCCGAGCAGGAGGAGTCCATGACATCAGAATTTTCAGTCGTTTCCTTCTTCTTCTTTAGCGCTATCCATAAGAACGTAGGAAACAAAATAATCAATATCTTCATAGTTGACATTAAGAATTTTTTTTACACTATTGGCGTGTAGACATATCCATTTTTCTTGAAATTAACCGTCGATGTAAACTTGCGGTTTATGGTACCAGGTCCTTTTTTTTTTTTTTACTATAAATAGACTGCAATTTAACAAACTGACGAAAAGCTAAGGGAACTAGAAGCATAAAACGAGAAGTAAGAACAAGAAAGAAAGATGAGAGCGTGTGTGTTTTTTGAAAATGAGGGATAGTGAGTGAATTGCTCATTCCCATCATATCTATCGTATTTTTATTTTATTTTGTTTTTCTTTGTGTGATTTATTAAAGCAAACCATGAAAATCACATTTTTACAAGATTTGAGTCATTGAAGGACCTCGAGTGTAGAAAATCCATAGTCAACCTTCTGAAATGGACTATCCAACCGTTTTTTTTCATTCTACTATTGTTATATAGAGTGAGTCAGAAAAATGTCCCACTTTTTAAAAGTTGTATTGTTTGAATTATGAATATTTAATCATGGGTTTCATGATATGCCTTGATAGAGTTATCCTCCCAGTAAATTTAGGTACCATTTTCATTTGAATCTCTGCATGCATGACTGAACATTAGACAATATTTGCAAGACTGCCAGATCTCACTTGCGCCAAGTTCCTGGGTGAGGAATAAAGCAGTGCATTGAACAAAAACAGTCAGACACACACATACACACACACACACACACACACACACCACACCACACATACACACAAACGCATGCACACACACACGCACACTCAACTAACACGGTGACAACTGTTTCATAATTTCCCCTTTTCTGATTAAGCGTTGATTTTTATCAAGATCGCTGAATGTTTAAGTGGCATAACCCTGACAATCTTTCCCTTTAGTACACATTTACTACCACCATCATGTCATCATCATCATCATTGTCATCATCTTAATCTTCATCATCATTATCATTATCATCATCATGAAGCACAACATCCGCCAATTAGCACCAAGAGGACAGCGGCCACTCAACTTTTCGTACGAGAAGAAGAATTCCCGACAAAAAGTAACAGTTTGGGTTGGCCTTGTCGGGAATGGGTTTAAAAACCGACCCAAAACTTCGGTTACATCACCCCCCAAAAAAAACTCGCGGGGGGGGGGGGAGGGGTGCAACCAAACTCAGAGATTATGGATTCTTCAGTTTGATACAGTGTTTTTGCTTAATATACATCGCAGAGATAGATATTGACTGTATACTACTAGTAAGAGCAATAAAATGCCGATTTGACTTTGGAAAAGTATAAACATCGAATATAAATCTAGGATGTGTTTCCCATGAAACTCATGGGAACAGCTTAGGGCTCTTCGTAGAAATCTAGATTACACTTTGAGCCTGAAACGTTTATTAATTATCATAATATTTGACACTTTAACTGAACAAAGCACTCTACTCTGTTTGATAAGAACCGGTAGGTCGGACTTATTGTATCAGTATCGGGTTCTTGTTTAGCGCTCATGTTTGTCAGATTTGACACTCAAGGGGATCCTGATTATTACCCTCGCTTTAGCATGGCTGTCATTACGACGTTCTAGCATTTCAAGGAATTAATTCCTGCCAGGTACCCATTTACATCACCTGGGTTGAAAGTGGCAAATGTAGATCAATGTCTTTCCAAAGTTCGATGACGAATCCACTCGACCATGACACCTCTACTTCTCTTTATTGATCAATAAAAGGTGATTTCGAAAAAGAATGCTTCACATGGCTCACGAGTAAGTTGAAATATATATCAGTTATTGCAATAGAAATACGTAAACTGATGAAATCATATTCATACTCTTGAAGATGGAATCGTTTGAGCTGCCATCGAGTGGTCATTTATTTTGATATACCTCGGGTCATTTGTCGCAAGTACCTTCTTAATCATGGAAACAATGTTTGCCGCATTCAAAAGATATGCATGCGTTTCCTATCTTAAGAGTAGTCAAAATATTTTAACTTGGTAACAAAAATCACAAAATCAGTGGTAAAAGATGTTTCCGAAAATATTTTTTTTAATCCCATGGTCACATGAATTGTTAGTTGCATGAAAACAAATACATGGAATTTTTAATCTAGAGTGTTGGAGGAAAGTTCTTTTCATTCCTTCGTTATACCCGATCTTAATGTATCTCTCTACAAAAAAAAAATCAGATGAAGTTATCATTATCATTTAAATTAAACCCTGAGACATTAGTCAAATTTTACGGTACATTTGGTTAATTTCTACCTTAAATACGAGTGTTTAGCAGCTGGAAAAGGCAAGCCACCGACGCAATATGCACACACACACACACACACACACATTTGAAAATATGACCTTAAGGGACTACAAACTCATAACAAATTAGGGACCCACTCTCATTAGCCCACTATACGTCATATTACCAGCTTTATTTTGTTTAAGATCGTCGTAAAAATACATTAACACCAACTTTGCGTTTTTTACCGTACACATGATACTGGAATGAAAGAAAATCACTGCAGAACAACGGATCCTGTACAAGATTATGATGTTGATTCGACAGGATAAAAGTCCCGTTGTTGGCAATGGAGCAGCGCTGATCGCGGTGGCGCGAAGGTGAAAATCTACTTAGCAGATGTCCCATGATGCTTTGCGATGAAACAACCGTGAAGGCACGTATTGATTTTCTTAAGTTTTCCTCTCAAATCTCTATTGGATTTCACATGTAATTTCGTTATCGCACAGCACAAAAACTACTATCAGAACGAGCCATATTACGTATTAGAGTTTACAGCTTCCCATCGAGTCCTAGATCTTGTCAAAGACTTGCAGTCTGATCCTGCTGATAGTAAATGACTTTGGTTTAAAAGTTTCTGTATAGAATATTCCTTTAGTGGCCTTTGCCGGACCAGGGTAAGGAACACCATTGAATTAACCTTAGAGGCATATCAAAATGTTTAAAGTTAGATTAATGTCTAAATCTAAACAAAGCAAAACTTACATTACACGTAACTCCTTAGTAGTCTAGGCTGTCCTGCCTCAGTGCCTGGTAAAGGGGTAGTGGTAGATGGTGATTTTAACAAGACGGGTTGGATTATATCTAAGTAAATCTACGTTAGATAAAGACCGAAAGATTTAGTCTCTGATATCGATGGTTGTTCCGCTGAGACTACTTCTGGCTCCACTGATCGAGGGAAGGTTGGTAAATGTCAGTTTTTGTAAATATTAACCAACTTATACTCTATGCATGGTAGCGTTCGTCATTCGGCACTACATGGCGTGCTTGCGTACGTATTTCGTATCAATGTTTGGGCTGTGAGCTGGCTAGGGTGCAATGGTTTTGACAGAGGTGGATTAATATCATGTTTATACAAAAAGTAATGCGGTTATTCGGCAAACTTACGTGCATACCTCACCTATATGTGCGCCGCGCCCAATTGGCGCCGCGCTATCTAAAAGTCACGCATGCGCAATCGCGCGCTTTTGTTTACATAATAATTATCGAAGATAACTTATGGATTGCCTATTTTGAACGGATTTTCCCAAGCCGCCCTCATCCAAATCAATGCTGTAACCGTGTGACTTGTCATCAGATGCTCTCGATTCCCAATCCCAAGTATGATAATTTGTTGGGGGGTATTTTAATGCTTTTTTGGGCAACTACAAATAGCCTTGTTTTTTTATTATATATATTAATGATAAATTTGTTTAAAAGCCCTTTTTAGTCAACCATGGCAACAAAGAAACAGTATACCCATTCAGGTGCCCAGTATACAAATGGTGCACAGGTTTAAGTGCGTCGGTAGGAATTGTGTGCATAAGGTACCTTCGAATGGTTTTAGAACAAATTTGAAGGTACCACGTGCATACAAAATCCACTGACACACGAATTAAACCAGTGCATCATCTGTTTTATAAAATGGGTCCAAAAAAAAAAAATCGTCAAAAGTACCAAAATCTTTTATTTTACAGATTCCCCGGGTACATGGCAAAATCATGCTTTCCGGGAATTGCCGGACGCATGATTTTGCCGTAACCAGGCATCCGGTAATTACCGGAAAGCATGATTTCATGACATTTTTCATGAAATTAAAAAATATATATATTTAAAAAAAAATGATAAGAACAATATTTAAAAAAACAAGAAAAACTAATAATTATAACTATAAAAAAAAAAAAAAAATAGGAGAATTTTTAAAAATAATTGTAATGGCACCCAGTAAAATTATATACATAGTAATTGACCAAACAGATTGCAGGGATACTCTACCAACACTGTAAAAAAATAATAGTCGAAATAACTCAATAAAATTGAGGAAAAGAATTGCCTTATTTTTATTAAGTAAATATTACCTACGGCATCTTAAGTAGAATTTACTTATTTTGCTGAATAAATTTTTACTCAGTTAAATCGAGTTACATTAACGTAAATAATTTAAGTATTGTAATCATTTTAGATAATTTAATAAAAGCTATGATAGGATTACATATTGCACGATACCCATCTAATCTAACAAGTAACATCCACTAATCACTAACACTACTTCTATTTAAGATTTAACCGTATATATATATATATCTACCACCATCACAAACTATTACATACGCTTCAATTCGACACATATTGAAAGGCTCCAAATTTTATATATACTTGATCGTGGCATCTTAAAAGGAAAATTGGTTGACAATTTCCTGAAATATCAAGTTTTGATTTGTTTTGAACTGGGTAACAATTAAAAATTGTCTTGTCTTTGCTTAGCCATGTTAAATGAATTAGTAAATGTTTTAAAGTCCTTTAATTTTCAATCAACCACAAAAAAGAATTGTTTTATTTAAAAAAGAGTTTAATTTGGTCTTAATGAATATTCATAAATTATGTAAATATTTCTATTACGTACTGCATCGGTCCTTACTTTAAAAAGATAAGAATAATCA